CAAGGAATGAGGTAAATCAGACAATAAATTCCACCACATTTCTCCTTAATTTCAATGACCACTTTCCCAACAAATCCAAAATTGATAATGTCCCTTCTAGGAGTTGCCAGGAATTTGCTATTTCTTTAACCAAACACTCAGCCCCTGAACATAACATCCAAATGCAGAACCCTACATGTATTCTGACAAAATCAAGAAACTCATCAGGAAGGTGTAGATCTAGGAGACTAGGGGAAAAGAACACCCTAGTTCCCTCACCCTTGAGTAAGAGAGTTCAAAAGTATCTAAACAACACCCTCGTGGCCTTTTTCCTCTTGAGGCCCACCCTTTGGCTAACTTCCAAACAGCCCACTGAGTTTTCAGCATCCTCATGACACAGAGTGAGCCAGAGAGAGGAAGGCATCAAGAGAAGATGAAACAGAGATGTGGTCAGGTGGCAAGAATTTCACCATCATCCTCATTTTTGGAAACAGCTTGTCACCTGTGGCACCACCCCGTTCAGCTTTCCCAATCTCCTTTCCAAAGCCCTTGCTTTAGTTAAAGAGGTAATGATGGTTCCAGTTGCTCATCAGTGCTAGACCAACCTCTTCATCTCTCCCAGTGGCCAAAAACAGTGCATTTCCACCACTGTAGACACTTTTGATTGCAATAAATTCTAAATTGGAACCATATTGCTTTGAGGTAATATGCAAATTATCACAAACATGATGAATCCTCTCCATGCCACAGTCATGAAAGAAAGAGACAGAGAGAAAGAAATACAGACAGGCAGGCAGACTGGTAGCCTGAAAAATAAACATGGCACTACATTCACTATCTTGTAATAACCTAGAATGAAAAAGAATATGAAAAAGAGCATATATATGTATATATTAAACATATATAATTGAAACACTATGCTGTACACCAGTAACTAACACAACATTGTTATCAACTAAACATCAAATAAATAAATAAACAGGGCAAACTACTACACACATGCATCCACACTTCAAGGTCCCCAAAATAATGCTGCTCCTCCAAAGACCAACCGAAAAAGAAAAACTCATCATCAATAAAAGACTAATATCCAGAAATACAAAGAAAACTCCTAAAACTCAACACAAACCACTTTATTTTAAAATTGGAAAAGGACTCGAATAGACATTTCTTGAAAGAAGATTTACAAATAGCCAATAAGCACATGAAAAGATGCTCAACTTCATTAGGGAAATCAAAACCAAATTAAAACCACAATGAGATACCAACTCACACTCATTAGGACGTCTGTTATCCAAAACAACCCACCATGCTCCAGCATAGATTAACCTTGAAGACATTACGCTAAGTGAAGTAAGTCAGTCCCCAAAGGACAAACACTGGGATTCCACTCCAATAAGTCCCCAGAGGAGTCAAATTCATAGAGACAGAAATTAGAATGGTAGTTGCCAGGGGCTGAGGCGAGGGGAAAATGGGGAAGTACTGTTTCATGGACACAGAATTCCAGTTTTGCAAGATGAAGAAAGCTCTGGAGATGGATGGTGGTGATGGTTGTAACAACAACATGAATGTACTTAATGCCACTGAATCGTACACTTAAAAACAGTGATGGTAAGTTTTATGCTATATATATTTTATCCCTATTTTAAAAACTACTGATACCTTTTTAAACTCACCATCATTGGGAAGACGATGGCGGCTGGAGATGCCTTGATGACCCAGAGCAGGACAAGGCAGGTGAGCTGGATGAGGGTGAAGAGATGCACTTTGCGCAGCGGCACGTGCCGAAGGTAGATGAAATCCGGCTGGTGCTTTGCAGGCATCCCAAACAGCTTCAGGCGATCAAAGAACTGAAGGGAGGGAATTGCCATTTATTTTCAGGGGGCTTCTCTGGGTCAGAAGCCTTGTTAGGCTCATTCATGTCTCTTACATCATCTGCTGCTCCGAAAGGTGGGTGATACTGTCTCCACTGGACAGAAGTGGAAACTGAGTCACAGAACAAGGAATGTGGCCTGGATTGGTAAGTGACAGAGTCAAAATTTGAATCCATCTTTTCTAATTCTAGGCTCAGATTTCTTTCTCCTATCCCACACTGGGGCTCCTGAGAGAGACCTTTCTCAGGCAGTGTTGAAAACAGAATAAGCCAATAGCATCTTTCTGCTTAAAAGATCAAATCTCTTATTTGTTCTTAGAGGAATTTGGAGCGTTTCATTATTTATTGTAAAAAGATAAATGAAACCTCATAACATCCTGGATATAGAAAATATGACTTTCTTTTATATTATAAAAAGGAAAATAGAGACCCAGAGAGATTAAATAAACTGCCCAAAGTCACATTAGAATTCAGTGTACAAAAATGACTACTAGATATTCCATAAAAACAAAAAGTAACCAGCCACCAGTAGAAGCAGCAGCTAAGTGATCATATCGGGGTAGCCAAGTTACCAGTGACAAGCTCCTGATTTTCTCTGTTCAAAGGCCTCAGGGAGGGGAGGGTATAGCTCAGCGGTAGAGTGTGTGCTTAGCATGCACGAGGTCCTGGGTTCAATGCCCAGTACCTCCATTAAAATAAATGAATAAGCCTAATTACCACCCCCACCAAATAAATAAATAATTTTTTTTAAAAAAAGGCCTCAGAGGAATGAGTTGACAGATGGGAAAAGGGAAGTATGACAAGACGTAACATCTGCTCACCTGGAGCAGCTGCCACTACTCCCCACTCTCTTCACCAGTGAACCCCCAGTTAACCGCCCCTGCTTCAGCACTTTGGCCTGACACTGAAACTAGTGCCATCAGGTGTGGAAGCCAGCTTGGTTCTTGACCAACCTTTCGGATCTAAGTTTATCAGCACCTAATGAAGCATCTAGTGTTTAATACATGCCTGATAATTGTCTGTTGAGTAATTAATGAATAACTGGAACCATGACATTAAGCCAGGCCACCCTGGAAGTCTCTGTACCTTCATGCCAAAATGACTGTGTTCTGCCCAATGTTCAGAGAAATGTCTAAAATAGCTTAACCAGCAAGACTAGGAAGTGGTTTCTCAAGAGCTGGTTGGTACTTCCCTCGGGAAGCTGTCCCTCCCAGGCCAGGACAAATGAGCTCACGGTGAGGAGACACTGCCTGGCTGAACCACGCAATACCTGAATCCCCTGCAGCGAAGAAACTCCCATGTAGAGGAAAACGCCATAGAGCACTGGCATCGGGATAAACTGGAGACAAAGGGGCAGAAAGACCAGGAATTAAATGTGGTATCACAGCACACTCAAGATGATATAAACTCTCAAGTATCTAGGAAGGAAGCAAAATCACAAATTCACTGCATAAACATTGCACTAGTTTCTGCTGCTTTTACATGATTTAGAAGTAGAAGCAAAAACAGAAGCTGACAATGATAAAAATCATTTTGTTCTGAAATGAAATGATTACACATAAGTGTAATCCAGTCCTGGTTAAATCACAGGCTTCACATCTTATCCCCATCTGGCTCTTCCTCCTCTATGGAAATGGGCAGACATGTGTGCGCGCCTCTGCATACACGTGCGCGCACGCGCGCGCGCACACACACACACACCTTTTTACAGAACTGATACCTTTTAAATCTTTTGTAATTGCATAATCATCTCCTCAGAGAGTTGGTATATTTTAACAAGGACTAAAAATGTTTCCTTTCTTACTAAAAAGAGACCTGAGGGCAGGAGTAGGGAGATGCCTTATCAAAGAGGGAATGATTTGGGGAGAAATATCAACATTATTATATTGCATGTGAATACACATGCTTATCCCATTACATCAATTTAGATCATTTTCAGAGCAGCTCCACGAGGTGGAGAAATGAGGTGTATGGAATCAGGGCAAGGATAGTCTCGTTGCAAAGACTAAACTCAGCTTGCATTTATTCCAGGGCTAAAGAAAATTCCCAAACGTAATTTTTCTTTAAACTAGAAAATTGCCATTGGATTTTACATTGTTCCAGCTCGGGAGTGAGCAGACATCTCAATTTGGTGCTAACCTTGTTTGCAGAATTATTGAACGGTTTCCTAAAAGAATCCTCCTGTGACAGTGAAAGGAAGGCCAGGAGATGGCCACCACCATGCCTTTGTGGTGACATTCCTGGAGGAGCAGCGCCCTTTGGGCTCCTCCAGATAGCACCTAGACCAGAGGTGGGAGTTGAGGTAGGGCTGGGGATGGAGAAGGGAAGGGGAAGGGTCATGAGGAGGGGTGGCAAGATTGTGTGGAAAGTAAGGGGCCAGGAAGATGATTCAGAATCCTTTCCAATCTCTCTCAATTCTCACCCTTAAAGTGCATTTGCAGTGCAGGCTGAGGTGACTGAAGATTCACCGAAAAGAGGGGAAGGAGGCAAGGGAGATGGTAAGTGCTCCAGAATGGCTGGGGCTTGGTGACAGAGCTTTCCTCTTTATTTCATTTTTCCCAGATGCAGGCCTTACACCTACAAAATGTTTTTTCTCATGTTCAAGGTAGCTTCCATCTTTCCAAAAATCCTCTTTTAACCCCACATCAGCCACTGTTCATTTTCCTGTTCCACTTTACAGAAAAGCCTCTTGAAAGACTTGTCTGCCCACACTCCCTTTACTTCCTCACCACCTGTTTACCCTGCCATCCCCTGTAATCCGGCTTCTGCTCTATCTTTCCACTGACTCTGCTCTTGTCAAGTCACATTAGGCCACCATGTTGCCAAACCTGACAGCCTTGGTTTAGTCTTCGTCTTTCCTGATGGTTTCTAACCAACCCCTCCTCCTTGAAACGCTCCCCTGGCTTAGCCTCCCTAACAGCGTACCCTTCTGGCTCCGCCTCCCTCCCTGGCCGCTCCTTCTGACTCTCGCTGCTCTCTCCTCTATCCAACTCCTTCGTGCTCGTCCTTCGACTCTGCTGTCCTCTGTGGTCCTACTTCTCTCTTACACCTGCCCTACTCCCTGAGTGATCTCAGCTGCTTCCCTGGCTTTCAGTACCACCTCTGTGCTCTTGACTCCCACATTCCTGTTTTCAGTTCAGAACCCTCCTCCAGCCTCTTCACTCAGATGCCTCTCGGACACATGACCCCAAGTCTGACTACAGCCCACCCCTCACAAAATCACTTCCTCCTTCGTGCAGCTTTCTCCATCTTAAACACCATCACTCTCCACATAGACGGTCAGGTCAGAAACCCAGCCAGCATTCTGATCTTTTCCATTTTCCTCACCCCATTCCCTACCCAGTCAACCAGTAAGACCTCTGGACCTCCTCTAAGATATACAGAAGCCAGACCTCTTATGCATCCCTACTACCAACTTCCTCATCCAAGCTGCCATCACTGCTCACCTGTAAGAGACTCATTGGTCTTTCTGCCTCTATTTTTTCCCAGCCCTAAACACCTTATTCTCTAGACATGAGCCAGAGAGATCTTTTCAAAATATTAAATGAATCACGTCCCTCTTTGGTTAAAACCCTTCAAAGGTCACCTTTGCCAGTGTCCACAAGGTCCTGCATGACCGGCCTCTGCTCACTCTTCAGTCTCATCTCACTGCGCTCTTGCCTTAACACCCTTGAGCCACATGGCCCTGACGTCTCCTAGAACACGTCACTGTTTCCCACCTCGGGGCCTGTCTAGACTGCTTTTCTCCCTTGCCCCCATGCTGTCTCCCACTATCCATGGCACGGCTGGCTCCAACTCATCTTAAGGACCATCTCCTTAGAGAGGGCTTTTCTAACCATACCGACTAAAATACACCCCCTTATTTCTCTATAGTACCAGAGAGCACTATGTATTTCCTTCTATCATGAATCATATTCTGTAATCACTATGTCTATTTTCTTAACTCACTTTCTTAACTACATCTAATCTGTCTTATCCCACTAGAATAAATTTTTTCAAGGCAGGTATTTGTATATGTATCTGTTTGTCCTACCACTGTATTCCCAGCACCCAACAGGATTCCTGGCACAAATCAGGCACTCAGTATTTACCTAATGAATGAATGAATGGTTACCTTTAATATAGCCGTCATGAAGACTGAGCAGCCCATCAGTACAAAGATCATAAGGCCTGTCACTCTCTGTTCTCGGATACCCAAGAATTTAGGCTGTTCTCCAGGGGCAGAGCACTCAGATTCCAGCTTGAGGCTGTTCACGTGTGTGATGGACAGGACAGTTGCAGCCACAAACCAGGGCAGGCCCATGACGGAGCAAACACCCAGCATGATGGCCACCATCAGCAGGTCCAGGTGGTAGCCACATCCTTTCTGTGGGGAAACAGAGTCTCTGTTTCAGTGGGCTGGCTGTAGTGGAACACAGGACAGTGAGCCAATGAGCCAACAGTCTCACGCCCAAAGCAAGAAGGAGTGTATGGATAAGGAGGAAGGCGTCCAGGGATTCCAGAAGAGCCTTCCAGCCCCTCCTGGTTTGGAGGGAACAGAGAAGAAAGAGAGAAACCTCAGCCTGTTCTACACATGCC